GGAAAAAAGAGAGAAAGACAAATCAAGAAACAGATTCTTAATTCTACAGAGCTGATGGTTACCAGAGGGGAAGGAGTGGAGAGATGGGAGAAATAGGTGATAGGGAATAAAGAGTGCACTTGTGGTGAGCTCCAGGTGATATATGGAATTGCTGAACCACTGTATTATACACCTCATACTGATATTACACTGCATGTTAACTAACTGGAATTAAAATTAAAAACTTTATGGGGCACCTGGGTGGCTCAGTCAGTTTAGCATCTAGCTCTTGATTTTGGCTCGGGTCATGATCTCAGGGTCATGAGATTCAGCCCCACATTGGGCTCCATGCTCAGCACAAAGTCTACTTCAGAGTCTCTCTCCCTCTCCCCTCTGCCCCTTCACTCCTTTCCCTCTCTTTCCAAAAAAATAAATAAAAATAAAACTTTAAACAATAAACAGATAAAAAATAAATAAAAATCCCTTCAGTTTTGCCAAAGCAAGGTGGGGAATTTTTAAAAGGAATTTTAATAAGGAAATAAAAATTATGAAAGTGAAGAAACAAAGGCATTCACATGCACACAGTTCTCATGTCATCCATATATATATATATACACACACACCCCAAAGATTGGTTTGGCTGATGCAGCTTTACAACGTTTTGCAAGATGTTTTGAGTTGAATTATGCCTAACAAAGACATGTTAAAGATAGGGTCTTTATGGAGGTAATGAAGTTAAAATGAGGTCATTAGTGTGGGCCTTAATCCAATATGACTGGTGCCTTACCCTTAAGTAGATGAGCATAATGAAAAGGGGGGAATCATTTCAATTGACACCCTATATGAATCAGAAACAGCAACAGTATCTGTAAATCCCTACCCCAAAGTCCTTAATTTCAGCTTTTTCTTTTTTTTGGCAACTTACTCTCCTACCTCTTTCTTAAACATTCCTTCCACTTCAAGAGAGAGGAACACCAATATATTGACCTTCCTCTCAAAGTCCAAAAAGTTATTCATCTGGGTCCTCCTGTCTATGCAAGGGCATTTTTCTCCCTACAGGTAGCCGTTGGTCCTGGTGACAAAGAAAGGGGTGGAGGGGAGAGGCAAGACAACCTCAGAGCAGAGTGGGCACTAGGGAGGTGCGTTGTGTGACCCAGGATGGAGACAGGAAGTCGAAAGAAGAGACCCAGCAATGGGACTCATCACCTCACAACTGACTCAGGCTTACATCTCATTCTTGTTTGTTGAAAAGAAAAACCATGTAAGTATTTACAGTAAATTAAGTTTGACATCTTCCTTCAGAAGAGAAGTGTCCTAATTTCCACCACATGCTGAGAACAGCTGGGTGCTCCCTCACTGCTCCCTAATTACTGATTAGCAAACACAATGGTCTAATCGCTCCTCCATATTTGGGGTAATTTTGATTATTGCCTTATCAGACTTGAAGAGGGTTTCCTGGGGCTTTGTTTACCCCATACGTTACCCTCCAGTCAGAAGGACACACTCCAGTCACAGCAAGGGAACCACTGTAAATGCCTATCCCGAGGAATAGCCAGGAAACTTTGTAACAACCCTGGTACTATCAAAATGCAGCCAATCTCTAGAGAAATCGCTGTGTGTGCCCATATTCCAGTAAAGGGACCATTAGTAAACTGCATAGTGATACCCTTGTTTTCTAGTTTAAATTGAAACATGCAAATATGACTTGGGACAAATATGCCCTGGTTGAACAAGGATTCTGGAAATCACAGTTTGCCTTGTCCCAGGGGTGGAAACTACCCTTTCCTCCCCTCTTACCGGCACACTCAGTGGCAGACCAGTGAAAGAGGAATGGGCAGGATCTTAGTCCAGGTTCTCCAGAGAAATAGAAAGAATAATATATATATATATATATATATATATATATATATATATATACACACACACACGTTTATATATCTCTATATAGAGATTTATTATGAGGAATTGGCTCACGTATGAAGTCCTACGATTTGCTGTCTGTAAGCTGGAGGCCTTGGAAAGCTAGGGCCATAATTCCAGTCCAAGCCTGAAGTCCTGAGAACCCAGGGAGTGAAGGGTGTAAATTATAGTCCAAGAGTCCTAAGATCAGTAACCCAACTCAAGCTTGCAGGCAGGAATTAAAAAGGTGGCAGCGGCTGGGGGGGGGGGGTCCCTCCTTCCTCATCTGTTCATTCTATTTAAGCCCTCCACCAATTAGATGATGCCTTTCCACACAGGGGAGGGCAATCTTCTTAGCCCACAGATTCAAATGTTAATGCCATCCAGAAACACCCTTACAGACACACCCAGAAATAATGTTTAATCTGGGCACTCCATGTCACAGTCAAGCTGACACATAAAATCAACCATTATAGGCAGTTTAGCCTCCTGTTTGGGACTCCTCACTACTTTGGTAGGTGACACAAGGTGGATCCTTAAATATGCCTGTAAAATATAGATCAAAGGAATGTCACCATGATTACAGGGCTTTTGGTAAGTCTCTACAAGTTATGCTGATTTGTATTCCGTGTGTAATTCCACAAAAGTTATTTCTAAATGACCGAGTCATTCTAACATAAAACAGCATCTGCCTTTCCAAATTCAAAGAGCAGAGCATTACTTTTGAGATAATAGGGGGATAGGATATCTTATCAGTTAAACTTGGGGCTCCTCAAGGTGGATCACATACTATCCGTGCATTTCCTCTCCCGAAATTGAGTGGTTTAGCTGAATGAATATGTCTTCAGAGGATTTAGCACAGGAGCGAGTGAGCATGAAATCACCTAACCCCAGACCCCTGCTGGCATATTCTCCTGGGAACTCATCCTTCATCCTCTGTGGCATCAGGGTGACTGGTATGAGCCTGGGTGGACCTCCAGATATCTCAACCCAGTCTCAGATTTGTATGTTCATTTCTTAACTCTGTAAACACACAACCTCACTACAGAATGTGATCCCACCAGGACAGGCTGTTCCTCAGACTCCCCACCAATCCAAGGAGGCCACTGCTTGGCACCTGCTTCACCTTTGTGTCCCAAACAGATGGACTGGTCTTGCTGACATTCCTGACACTGACAAGTAACAGTTACACAGCAAGTTTTGTAACGGACGCTGTACACACATTATCTTATTTCATCAAACAATACCTGTTGGTTGTACTAATACTCATATGTGAGGTAGGTGTTACTATCCCCACTTCACAGATGTAAAAGTTGGAACTCACTGACAGAGGTCACAGGGTTAGGAAGTAATGACTTAGAATTTGTACCCACTTTCATTTGTTGCCAAAATCCAAATAACCATGATGCTACACTGCCCCCAAGCATTAGAAAAAAGAGCAACTCTCCTTGATCCTTCCCTGCTTTAGAGAACAGCATTCGTAAGTTAGTGGGGAAACTGGCTTTAAGCTACTGAGACATAACACACATCACCTTCTTTCTTATACTTGCAAACACATATATAGTGACTTGAAGGAAAAACAGGTAAAGGTCATGAGTTGGAGTCACGTTTTCAAGGGGGTCAGCCTCAGGACATGGCCACTAATGAAAGCACATTCACTGATTCATTCTTGACTCCGTGAACACAGAGTACACACTATCTAAGGCATTCAGGATGCAATGAAAAATAAGTAAGAGGTCCTTAGAATCCAATGTGGTAAGTCCTGTGAGCAAGTAAATGGGGTGTGTCAGGAGTGGCCAAATCCAGTGCAGAGAGAGGCTGTCAGGAAGCCACATCCCACCCAGGAAGGCAGAGTCCAGCATCCCTTCAATGTTTTCTGTTACCACGTGGTTAAATGAGTCATCCAATTTCCCCTGGAAGATATATGCTTATTTACTGTCTTCTATTACCTGTATATACATTCTCAGTGCTTTGGCTAAGACTTCTGCTGACTCGGGAAATGTTTTTGTATAATAAATATTCAGCTAAATATAGTCAGAAGACCATTTTGGGGAAATACCACAGAAGCCAGTTTTCATGTCCCTGCTTCACCAGGGGGTAGTAGATCCATCCATTCCTCAATCTCTTAGAATGTCTCTAGAATCTGGCCTGATGCTATGGCCCAAACAGTGGCCAGAACATGTAAACCATATACCTTGTAAGGAGGAGAACAATGTGGAAACCAAGCAAATAAGAAACTCCCACATATTTATGAAAATATGTCTAAAACATAGGTAAGTGATGAGAGATTTTGAAATATCCGTAAGAGGCAAAATTCCTTTGGGGAATTCATGTCGTGATCCACATTTCCTCTTAGGTCCTGTAGGGGAGCCCAATAGGACAAGTATGGCAAATAAAAGCTTTGAAATTTGTCAAGAAAAGACTTCAGTGGTGGAACTCTCTCTTAGGACCAGGGAAAGGTTCTAAATAAGGTTATTGTTGTTGTTTTTTTTTAATCAAGGTTAAATTTCTGTGAAATTTCAAGCCAGGCTCCAATTGTGCAGTGACTTCTTGCGAAAGCTTAGAACCATGAAGGTACCGGGGGTCCTTAAAGGCCCCAACAGTGTTTACCAAGTGCTCTTTGGCTGAGTATTTGCCACACACTTGACATAGAATATTCTCACTTAACCCTCAAGAATACTACTACCGGGAGATATTATTCCCATTTTACAGAAGAGAAAACTGAGTTTCCAAAAGGTTGTAACTTAGCCAGATTGCATAGCTTATAAGTGGCAGAGCTCAGACTCACACCCAATGTGCAAAACGAGAGGATGGTCTTCTAAAGTCAATAAGCTACTAGAATAAGTGCTACCCTGAGCAACTTTGGGGAAGCCTCTTTTAGCTAAAAGGTAGCACATTTTTCCTAAGCTTGGAATTGCCTAGATTGCAATGTTTAAAGTAATGCAGCTGCAGACTATAGCCTAAAGTGAATGAAGCTGGGGGAATCACCCTTTCCAAAGCAGGCCCACCTGCATATCACACAGGTGTGCCCCTGAAGCCAGTCCCCTGAAACCAGTTCCTTCTGTATATAACGAACCTCATGGAGCATGGGGAGCTCCGGTTCTTGGGAAACAAGGCAGGTCTTACAGCCAGTGGGGTTCCTAGCGGCGCTATGTGGCTGCTACAGTCCATCTTGCTCTGTTTTCCCTTGGCTCTTGCTTTGAGCAGTCACCAGAAGCCCGAGGCACCAGATTATCCTGGTGAACTCCACTGCGGGCTACAGAGTCTTCAGTTCACCATAAACCTGAGCCAGGGGACAGCGACTCCTGCACTGATAGCTTGGGGTAAGTTTGCTGACTCACTCGGCTTAGCCCTCTAGCTTCCCCTCCTAACACTCCCCCTTTGGTAAACTCTGCAGCCTCTCCTACAGACTGAATCGTCTAAGATAGAACTTCTCTTCCCAATCGGAGCCCCCTCTTGTTCCTCTCTCTTCTTGCTGCTGCCCCCTTGGGGTGTGATGGCAAAGCTGGCTGTACTTTCCCAGCACTGAGGACTGTGGCGACTGACCCCCCTGTGCTTTTTGCTCCCCCCTGCCTTCCAGACAACCGCGGGCTGCCACACAGGCTGCAGAATAACTCTGGCTGTGGTGTCTGGCTAAGGGAGGGCCCAGGCAGCTCCATGGTATTAGAAGCCTCTTACGGCGGCTGCTATGTCACTGAGTGGACCAGGTTGACCCAGTCACCAGGAATGCTGAGGCCCCCTGCACCACCATCAGGGGTGACTCCCCAGGACCACCACTATATCATGCTACTTGGAGTCGAGGAAGCAGATGTGGCTGGACGCAGCATGGTTACGAAGACAAAGATGCTCAAGTGTCCTACGGATCCCCCAGGTAAGGGCTGGAAACTTTCAGGGTCTGGGTGGTGCGCTCTTGAGCCTCTTCTACCTGCTCTGTGCAGCGATAGTGACATGAAGGATTGTCCTCCAGCTCCCCTGCACATGCGGTCCTTAAGATAACCACCACATGAGTGATTAGATGACTTGGTGCGAGGCACTGTGGAGGGCAGAGCACTTCGCCGTCCCCTCCCCAGTCCTAACCAGTGCTGTATATGCTATTCCTTCCCCCAAATGGTGAGCTCTTGGTGAGCGGCAGAGCTGGGATTTGAACAAGAATTAACCCAAGACCAGGAGCTCCTCGGTCTTGAGAAGTGTAGGAAGGGAAGCTAAAGCTATTAAGGATACTTGCCAAATGCCTCCAAGGATCAACTGTGCCCTGAAAATAGGGCTCAGGCCTTTCAGCTGGAGGCTACTTGATCACTTAACTGGGGAATTAGCAGGAAGTGTGACTCCTACTCAGCTTCAGCAAATCTTGTCTTGCCCTCTGCAAGCCCTACCTCAAAGTCCTAAGGGATTCAAACCTGTAGTGCACTCTTCTCCTCTGCCTTGTATCCAAAATCTAATCCAGAGAGGTAACACTGATAAAATGCAGAATCCCAGTCCCCGTATCAGACCAGCTGTACCAGAACCCGCATTTCAAAAAGATCCCCCAGTAACTCACAGTACAGGAAGACTGAGAAGCACCTCTGCAGAATAGAATTCTTTGCTTGAAGGAAAAAAGGAGCCCCACTGCTTCTACTGATCTTGCTGGTATTCTCTTTCAAGAAGTATTAATTTCAGGGAACTTAAAATTTACTTAACTTTCGGAAACTTAATTGCTAGTATATAATACAGACCTACCCTGATCATCTGGACATCTGTGGGAATTTTAATACTTTGTAACAAATGATTTTTTTTTTTCTTAAGACACAACTTCGTTATCTAGCTCGAGTTACTCGCCTCTTCAAAATGTAGCCCTAGATGCTCCAAACGCTGACCTGTGTGACTCTGTCCCAGTGTGGGACAGGCTGCCTTGTGCTCCTTCACCTATCACTCAAGGAGACTGCGAGAAGATTGGCTGCTGCTACAATTTGGAGGCAAGTTCCTGTTACTATGGAAACACAGGTGAGTTACTGCATCTCTGAAACCAGCTAAAGTAAAGTACCAATAACTTGCAATTAAATCCAGAGAAGAGTGATCTTCCCTCCCCCCTCCCCCAGAAGACAAATGTTAAAGATGACCAGAAGTTAGTGTATAAGCAATGAGCATATCCTAGAATACTTGACCCTAAGTGATCACTACTCAGACCCTAAGCTCTGAATACTAACTGATAAGTAAAACAAAGCAAGTACTATTATCCCCATTTTATAAATGAAGCTAGAGCAGGGAGGTTAGATGCTTGGCCTGAGGTTGCTCAGTAAGTGGTGGAGGCAACATTCAAATCCAGGCGCTCGTTCAGTCCTTCCGTTGAGCTCTGGATAGCTGAACTTGCACAGAGTCCACTCGGTGGGACTGCCAACCTCTTGGGGAGGGATCAAAACTCTCTAAATATCTAGCTGGCTCAAAACAGGAGGTATGACCTGTTTTCAGCACAGCCACTCTGGTTTTTCAGTGACCTCACACTGTACCCAAGATGGCCACTTCTCCATCGCCGTGTCTCGGAAGGTGACCTCACCCCCACTGCTCTTAAATTCTGTGCACTTGGCCTTCAGGAATGACCATGAATGTACCCCTGTGATGGCAACACGTACCTTTGCCCTCTTCTGGTTTTCATTTAATTCCTGTGGCACCACAAGACAGGTAAGAACAGTTGACCTTTGGCTCTGTCCCTAACTCTAGAAGTCCGATAGAAATGTCCTAGTGACTGGAGGGAGAGGTGGAATATCTTAGCCATGAAGGAGACAGCTGACCACTGCTTGGTGCATATAATGGTCTCTAGGACAGAAGAATGCTTCACCATTGAGAAAGCAGAAACCTCCCCTGGGCATTCAGCTAAGATCACAGCTGCGCTCCAGCAAGGGGCTAGTACTTCTACCAAGCCATAGACAAGAGGAACAAGTAAGAGTGTCTTCTTGCCATACTGCCCTGGAAAGCAAGCAGGGGTTGGCTGACATTGTGGTCATGTTCCTGGCTGCCTCTATAATAAGCCCTATTGCCTTATCCTGAGGTAAGGTGAAGTGATAATGTCCCAGGTTAGTTGCCACCTGCTTTTGCCTCTGCTCAAGGAGCAGAAAATGCAGCCTAAAATAGCTTAGCACTGCTGACTGTTAGGTCAGAGCAAGTTCTGAGTGAAGTGATACCTGGCTAGCAGGAATAATACTTCTTTCCCCATACTTCTAGATCATTGGAGACCAGGCAGTATATGAAAATGAGCTGGTCGCAGCTAGAGATGTGAGAACTTGGAGCCATGGTTCTATCACCCGTGACAGTATTTTCAGGTAAAGGTCTTAGTTAACCTGACCCTGCTTAACCAGAATGCCTTCCCTCCCATAAAACAGGAGTTCTAGGGTAAGCTCTGAATCCACAGAACCTCTCCTCATGACAAGAGAACCTGTCTCCTGCCTTGGTTGTCCAATCTCAAGGACCATTATTTAAGTCACCCCGCATCACTGCCATCAAACTCCCCTGGACTATTTCACTTACGTGGACTCTCATTTTGGCCTTCTCCTTCCATAGTCCATGCTGTAACAAAGAATCTCCTCAACACCTCAGAAGATTGCACCCTTAACGCTTCCTCATTGTCTTGCCACAGCTTAAACTAGGCATCATGAATGTAACCTGAAGGACCCTGCATCAAGCACCTCCTACTTTCCTCTTCAGCCCAACCTCCTTAAATGCCCTCCATCCCTCACTCACTATTCCCCAAACTCCGACTGAAGTCCCTTGAAGATTCTATAGAAGGACAAACTGGTCTCCATTCTCTGTTCTGCTGTTTCTCTCCCTCCTCTTACCTCCATTACTTTCTGTCTTCCTTCAAGACCACTCCCTGCAAGCTCTTCCCTAACTACCCTTTCTACAGAAAGCACCTGTTTCTCACAGTACTGCACCGACACTGATCCCATCTACATATTGGTCTCCCAAACTAAGATCTAGCTCTCACAAGCTCAGGAACCATACCCCTCATGTTTACAAACTTGTCCAGCACCTAGCATGTAATGGTTCCTAAAACCTTTAAAAGCTGAACGGTGGCATGGCCCATCCTACCACCCACACTAGCTAAGAAAGCTCTTGTTCTTCTGTAGGCTTCGAGTTAGCTGCAGCTACTCGATCAGTAGCAATGCCTCCCCGGTTAATGTCCAGGTTTTTACGCTCCCACCACCCCATCCTGAGACCCAGGCTGGACCCCTCACTCTGGAACTCAAGATTGCCAAAGGTAAGACCCACTTGGCTGGAGCATCTGGCCTACAGTCTAAAGCCCTATCTCTTTTCTGGGCATTAAGACAACTTTGTAATAAGACACTTGCTGGAGGTATTTCTGTGTATATGCTGTCTCAGGCAATGTAGAGTTTCCTAATTCTGGTTTTATTGCTTCAACTCCTTTTGGTCTCTTGCAGATAAGCTATATGGATCCTACTACACTGCCGGTGACTACCCAGTGGTGAAGCTACTTCGGGATCCCATTTACGTGGAGGTGTCTATCCGCCACAGAACAGACCCCTACCTGGGGCTACTTCTCCATCACTGTTGGGCCACACCCAGCACAAACCCGCAGCATCAGCCCCAGTGGCCCATGCTGGTGAAAGGGTAAGTGGCTCTTCCATGCACCTGTGCTGGAGTCCCTCTGAGAAGCCCCTCCTGACTGCCAGGTGTCTTTGCTTAGATGCCCCTATGCTGGAGACAACTATCAGACACAGCTGATCCCTGTCCAAAAAGCCCTGGACCCTCCATTTCCATCTTACTACCAGCGCTTCAGCATTTTCACCTTCAGCTTTGTGGACTTGGTGACAAAGAAGGCACTTGGGGGACCGGTATGATGCTTCCCTCTGTGTTCCTCAGCAGGGCTCAGAACCGCGCCCCCCCCCCCCAACTCAGAATTGTTTCCACATCCTACCACTCCTCGGCCAGGGCTGCCCTTTAAATGTAGCTGGTGGTACTCCCTCAGAGCCACCATTGATCCCAAAGCCATGAATGACATTTGCCTACTGGACTCTACTTCTTTAGTGTTATTGTGATATCAGCTTGGGATGTCAAGATTTTCTGATAACTTTCTTTCAACTTCTTCCCGGGGAGTTAAGTTTGAAGACTTGTGATGTGGTTCTACACCATGATCTCCATTCTATTGGCTCCCAGGTGTATCTGCACTGTAGTGCATCTGTCTGCCAGCCTGCTGGGACACCATCCTGTATGATAACCTGTCCTGTTGCCAGGCGTGAGTATCCAAGCTGTCCACACTGGAGGACAAACTTGAAATAATCTTGAGTCCCCCTGCTTACCTTCTTTAGCCTGTAGGCAAATGATTCAAAGTAAAGATTCATCTTATTAATGAGGCTGCTTTAGGTATTTTTATGATGCAGTAGAACAGACAACCAGCTTCCTAGAGTTCCAGGCCTTTTAAATATAAGTTACAAATCCTCAAGTCTCAGCCTTGGTCAAAATGTGTATGAAAAAAGCTAAGCGAGGACTCAAACTGGCTCATGACCTACACATGACTCAGTCTAACAAAAACACTTATCTGGCTAGTTCACAAATCAAGCCGTTTATACCTGCTTGAAGGCATGTCTAGCAACATTGCCTGAAGATCTACAGGTGGAGTATGCCTGCAGACAGTAGGTGCTCTAGTGGGTCAGACCCAGTCCTCCTATAATGTGTGTGTACTCCTAGCTGGTCCACTAACTTTTACCTGTCTAGCACCTGAATTAATTGGGATTCATGACCCCTAAAGCTTTAAGTCCCTTCTTGGGGTGGGGGGAGACTCATAGTAATGTAATGATAGTTATGAAATACTTCAATAAATATTTAGAACCTAACTCCGATGACCTCTATTCCATACCTTTCTAAAAGAAATGTCTATGCTTCTAAAAGAAACGTATATCCTTCTAAAAAACTTAGATCCTATAACTGGCAATAGAAATAGGATTCAAACAGCTTTGCTCTGTTACTGTCTTACCAGTTACCTTTGTAGCTTAGGAAAAGGTCTTGGTATTAACATATTACTGTCCAAATACCTCTTTTACAGAAGAATGGCAGTTTGGGGAAAGTCTAATATCATAATCTCTATTAAATTCTGGTGAAAATGAGGTAGCAGGGTTAGGTACAAAGTCTTAGACTTGTTTGAGTTTCTGTTAACACACTTAAGACATGGAACAGCTGTACATATTGAGGGACCTAACTCTCCCATTCCTACACCACCATGTGCAAAAAATCCTAACTAATCCCTAGCTCTCCTTTCTCCAACAGGAAGAAGAAACTCTAACATCCATTTTCACAACCATACTGCTAGCATTTCTAGCAAGGGTCCCATGATTCTACTCCAAGCCACTAAGGACTCCTCAGAAAAGCTCCATAAAAACTCAAGTGAGTGGGCAGAGACTTTAGCTACTGGAAGCCCCTTACCTGAACCAATAATCAAGCCAAAGCTACTTCCTCATCCCTAATTTTTCTTCCTTGCTGATATGACCAATGTGAATCTCAAATTGACCGGCTTGTTTTTCCTATAGCTAAAGATGTCTTTTTCAGGATACAGAATCACTTGGTCTTGGCATACATTAACCTACCTTTCTACCCTACAGGTTCTCCTATAGGTTCCCAAGCTCTGTGGATGGCAGGCCTTTCTGGGACCTTAATCATTGGAGCCTTGTTAGTGTCTTACTTGGCTATCAGGAAATGGAGATGAATTATTCCAGTTGTGTTAATAAAACCAGATTGCACTACCAGCCTGTGCCCAGCTTCTCATTTAAAAGAAAGTAAGTAAGCTATCTGCTGTTGGCATCTCCTGTTTCCAGCTTGGGGCAGTATTTTGCATGACAATAGAATAACAACATGATACCCTAGGCCTCTACTCCAGCCCTTCTAGCTTCTGAATAGAACAATGTTTCAGTAGATTCATAGTTGGTTGACAAGTCAGGTAGTATATACAAGAACTAAATACAGAGGTTACAAGCTTAAGAGGGGTATAAAACAAAACTCTTCCACAAAATCAATCAAACTAAGGTAGAACTAGCCTAGAGCTACTGTGGAATCTTCTAGACAGTGTGCATAGGATCAAAGGAGGGCTGATGAAAATTGATTACTGGCCCCACCCCCAGAATTTAAATAGGTCTGAGCTAAGGCTTAAAAACTTGCATTTCTAACCATTTCTCAGGTGATTATGATATTCTAAGCATCACACTAAAAACCAATGTCTAGAACAGTGACTAAAAGGAATTATCTGATCATGGATTGGTCAACGGGAAGTGGTTTGATCAGAAGAGGTTTAGTTTTGAGCCAGACCAACAAGTAATTCCCTAGTTTCTTAGTCCTTAAGACTAACACATGGTGACTTCTCAAGGTAAATCTTCTGCTCAAAGAACTCTAGTAATTAACACTGTTGGCCATACTGTCAGTCTCTACTCTCATCATGGTAGAGTTCTGAAATTAATTCTGGTTAAACAAAGTTTCCCCATTTATCTGCAGGGAATAACTTTTAGGTTGCTTTATATTTCAGCAAAGTTAAAGGCATTAATCTTGGTACTTAAATACCTGCTTTGTAGGCAAGTCAACTCCACTTCAAACTGCTTCTAAGCAGGGACTGAATATTTCCTTATTCAACTGACAGGGACACTATATGCTTCTTATGTGACAGGAACTATCCTAGATGCTCGATAACACACTTGAGCTTCATGAAAACCTAAAGAGGTAAACATTCATTCCTGATTTCCAGGATTTGGAATACCTATAAAGCCAAGTAACTTACCCAGCATCACTCAGTCAACTAATGGCAAGGCTGGACCATGAATTCAAGTCTGATCTCAGACATTGTGCTTTTAACTGCATATTCTACTACAAATACTCAGTTCTTCAATAGGACCAATTTCCAGTGGTACAGAGATTCAGCTTGACCAAAGTTTTTCTGAAGCTTGCCTGTTTGCCTGATGGTTGTTGGGGGGATGTTGCTAAAATAGATGCCTAGAACAAAGGTCTGGGACTAATGACGGACTACCCTCCGTGCTAAAGAGGAAGAACAATGATCTTGGATTTCAGTGGTGATAATGGTTAACTTGGTCACTAAACAAGTATAACTGTAGGTAACCTGGGCAATCATGAGTAGATGTATTAAATACAATTAAAATTATATCTCAATTTTTATCATTTAGGTAAAGCATAATTTGAGATTTTTATATCCATGTATATTTACAGTACATCTCAATTTGCAGGTTAAAAATTAGCTAGAAGTACCATATTTTTAGGTCTCCTAAGATTTACAGTTAAACAGGTTCACGTACCCAAATTGTTTCAAACATAAGTCTTCTTTTAGCTGAACAAAGTAGGTGTTTCCAAACTTAAAATTCTTATACTAGCCCCAGTTCATGTGTCTATAGCCACATCTGGCTAGGAGCTACTTGAGCTAGGAGCTACAGGATGCATGAAGTCCCTAAATTCAAACATGTACTAGACATCCTATGTTGACAGGCATTATACTAGCATGGAAAGTAAAGCAACATAAACCATGAAAGATGTCCCAGCAACAAGGGCAGACAAATGTCTGATGGCAAATGGGGGGGGGGGGGGCGGAAATCAAAAGAATGATGGGGAGAAGAATTGCCAAGTCCTGTCATGCTCTGCCTGTGAGAAAACTAAGTGGATATGGGTTCTTTGCTTATCCCACTAAAAGCAAGTGTGTGGGGTCCTATAAATGAAACTGATTATGCCAAGTATCCGGATTTACAACAGAGAAAAGGCTCCAATAGCAGAGTACCTGGCATGTTAAGTTATTCACTCAGTGACAATGGACTTTTTTTTAAGATTTTATTTAGAAAGAACATGAACAGTGGGGAGGGAGAGCAAGAATCCCAAGCAGACTCTGTGCTGTGCTCAAGCCTGACCTGAGGCTTGATCCCATGACCCTGAGCTCATGACCTGAGCCAAAACCAAAATGTTGGATGCTTAACTGAGCTACCCAGGTGTCCCCCACTTTTACTTTTTTTTTTTTTTTTGAGGAAAGGTAGTAACATCTATATTTATACTAGATCCAATCAAAGGAAGAAAAAAATCCTGGTTCTTAAGCCTTGACCTAGAACCTGCCAGGTTCTCTCTAGCAGGGCTTCTCAGATTGATAATTAATGTCCTGTGAGCCTCCAAAGGGAGCTAAAAACTATTTCGCAAACATATTTGACCATGGAAATGTTTCTCTCCTCCATCCGCCCCGCCCCGCCCCGAGAATCTTACAGGAGTAGTGTTCTACAGAACACACTTCTATAGATCTAGGGTGTTTCTGCTTTCCTAACCATGGAATCCTTATTGGAACTTAGCCTGCTCAAGAGGGAGAAAGGAATATTGCAGGGAGAAATTATTACAGTATACCTCTGAATTGAAAAGTCCCTGGCCAAAACTACCTAGCTTAAAGTTAAATCATTGCTCTAAAGTGAAATATCAGTTGGGACCATTAACTTGAGTAGCTTATTAATATAGTCTCTTAGCTAAATTGGAAACTTTATTATCCCCAGAGGGGATAATTCTTAAACATTCTCAAATCTATACTACTTTTTGGCATTTGTCTAATTTTAAGAGGCTTTTTCTGGTAACTTTTTATAAGCTTATATTCCCACCCCAGACTCTTTCCTACCTTCACAATACCCTCCAAACTTAATGAAACATTTCTAGGTAATAACTCTTTACCCATTGACTAAAGGACTGTTCAAATCTAGCCAGAATAATGTAATTCACTCTTGTATATTTTAGGTTTTTCCCGGATAAAATCATAGCTGATTTTGTTTATTCCTCTGTGTGCCTATCACTAATTTATTTTGCAGAGTCTTCACATGATAACATAGCCGCTCTTGGTGGCTCCCTAGGCCTGTTGCACAGCTGTCAGCCTAAGACTTCCCTTTGAGGTCTTCCCTTTCTCTTGGATGAGTTCTAGTCATGTTTCAGTTTGTTACTTAGCTTTGGCAGCATATATCATTTTTTGTATTCATTTGAGAAAGAATGGCATAGAAGGCAAATTTTTAGAACTTGGATGCCTGAGAGTATTTTTCTCCCTGCCCTTCCCCCCAAGCTGGCTCTTTACAGTTTAGCAGGTATCAAATTATAGATGAGTGGCCTATTCTCTATTTTGAAGGTATTGCTCCATTGACTTCAGGTTTCAGCGTTGCATCCTGTTATTCTGACTTCTGATCACCTGTCTTTGGCTATTCCATATGCTTTAGAGCATTCTCTATCACCATTCTCTGGTCTTCTATCTGTGACTGGTTGATAGAAAAGAATTTTAAGGGGGGGGGGGCACCTGGGTGGCTCAGTCGTTAAGCATCTGACTTCAGCTCAGGTCATGATCCCAGGGTCCTGGGATCTAGCCCCGCATTGGGCTCCCTGCTCAGAGGGAAGCCTGCTTCTCCCTCTCCCACTCCCCCTGCTTGCATGTTCCCTCTCTTGCTGTGTCTCTGTCAAATAAATAAAATCTTTAAAAAAAAATATTAAGGGATGCCTGGGTGGCTCAGTTAAGCATCTGCCTTCAGCTCAGGTCATGATCCCAGGATCCTGGGATTGAGCCCAGCGTTGAGCTCCCTGCCTAGCCAGGAGTCTGCTGCTCCCCACTGCTTTGTGCGCGCGCTCTCTCCCTCTCTCTGACAAAAAAATCTTTAAAAATTTTTTTAAATCTAGAGTACATGGTTTTGAACTCAAGGAAAAATTCTTATTTCTGATTTACCCCCTCTTCTGTCTTGTTTCTATCCCCCTGGCTCATTTCCAAAGGAAATGCTCTTAAATTGCCTCTTCATTTCCTTGATTTGTCTTTAGTTTAGGCACATTCTTCAAGACTTAGAAATATTGTACATTCTGACTTTTCAAATATAAATCTTGTTTATCCTGAATTGTTTTCTCAACTTTTTCCTTGATAGTATGTCTTCAAATACCAATTTTGTCCATTCACATGGTACTAAAGCCAATTGGAAGCTCTGTAACTGAAGACTAATAAGCGCCAACTTTGACCACAAATTACCAGTGCTCATATTTCTTCCCCATTTATATGGATCTACTTGTTCAAAGTAACACTGGAAGAGTCTAGGTCTATAACAATTGTTTTCTACGGTGTCTAACACCCCCAAATTCCAAAAATCCCTAATCCCAGGTCCATCTGTTCACGGCCAGGATGGAAGAAAGTAAATCCCCTAGTCCTATGACAAAAACATCAGATGTTTAACAGTTCCCGATTTTAACTTATCGAGTCCTACTACACATACAATGAAGCATATAAGGTGTACCAATGTTGTAGAGAGCCTGCTGAAAATATATCTGTCTAACCACCACCCTGATCAAAAGATAACTGAAGCAACCCCAGAAGTCTCTTTATTTTTATTCCCAGTCAAACTTCCTAGAGGTGCTAACTATTCTATCACCAGAGGTTAGTTTTACTTGTTCTTGAACTTCATATAAATGGAATCATACATACTCTTCTGTTTAGACTCTTTAGTGTCTGAGATCTACATTGCATGTGTCAATAGTTCTTTTATGTACTACATTACATTAAAAATATCAGTTTAGGGGCACCTGGGTGGCTCAGTCAATTGAGTGTCTGACTCTCGATTTTTGGTTCAGGTCATGATCTTGGGATCATGAGATTGAGGCTCCCATCAGGCTCTGCACTCAGCACAGAGTCTGTCCCTTTCCCTCTGTTCCTCCACCTGCTTGCTTGCTCGCTCTCCCTCTCCTTCCCCCCACCCCTTTCTCTCTCTCAAAA